AGTACCCATTGGACGATCAGGCCTGTGTTTTCCAAGGTGCGCAGAGCCAGAAGTGAGTCCAGAGCCTTGGATGGTGGCAGCGGGAACCCCAGGCTAGCGGGTGTGCTCCAGGGAAGGGGTCAGCCGGACGGGAGGCACCCTAAGGGAGGCACTCGGAGCCTGGAAGGTGGTCGGGCGCAGGGAGGTGGGCGGCTCAACGCAGGAGCGCCCCCTACTGGCCCGCCACACGGTGTACCACTTGGGTTTTCTTGTCTGAGGTTAAAAGGTTTTCTAGGAGCTGCATGACATCTGACCATGAGGGATGATGAGTCATGAAGATAGTTTTAAACCTCCTTAGGACTATTTCTGGATCGTCTCTAAGCCTGCGGGTGTTTTCTTGCCAGTTTAAGAGGTCGGTGGTGGAGAACGGAGTGTGTGTCCAGTGACTGATAACTTCTCCACCCTCACCAGGCACAGGGTATTCTCTTAGAGGTAACTGAAGCAGAGGCTTGGACAATTTTTGATGAGTGCGATTAGAAACTGGGGTGGAACTGGAACCTGGAGAGGGATCTCTGGATCCCTCTCCAGATCCGGGACTCGGGGATTCCAAAAGAGAAGATCGAGGTGATGCCTCTCGAAGACTTCCCAGTCCCTCGGCCGGCCCAGGGGCAGCGATTTGGGGTTCAAGCATTTGAGGTGGAACTAACGGTGGGTTAGGGGGCCTGGACATGGGTCTGTAATCATCTTCTCAATATGAGGGTGGTGTGGAAGGTTTTGGACATTGAAGGGGAGCTAACAAATTCGGGGAAGGTACAGGGGTCGAGGTGGCTAAAAGTTTTGATCGCTCACTAGCAACATTGTCCCATAAATACCAATAATTTATTTGGCCGGGGCGGAGGGCCTCCAAGATCTTTCGTAAGGCAGCCAGGCGATTTAGGTCAAATGATCCATTTTCTGGCCATTGTCTCCCTAAATCTAACTGGGACGTATAAGACGTCCAATTAGTTAAACAGAGTTCTGCCATACGAGACTTGGACAGTCCTGCCCATCCCGCCAAACGTTTCCAATTTTGGATCATATAATCAAGGGGTGAATCGGGAATAGCTTTTCCTTTCCCTTGGCCGGAACCCATGATTATATCCAAGCACAAGCAGTCTTATTTCCCTAAATTCTACCTGCCTAGAGGCTGTTTCGTCTACGTACAACAACCGGTGTTCTCGGACCCCGCTGGCTTTCTCCGTAGGAGGGGCGTCTTGAGTCCAAGACCCTAGTTGCTGGCCGTTATAACAGCATTTCTACTTCTTATCCGTGTCTTTCGCCTTTCGGCCAGGCTGCCGCTCTAACAGCTTTTAAAGTGGCAGACGGATACCCTTAAAGACTGCTTCCAAAAACCTCTAGAGGTTAAACCAAAAGCCCAGAAAATAGATAGAAACCAAAAACATACCTGACCCGAGGTACTCGCCGGTACTGTCCCTTTACCTGATTTAAGGATCCCGCCTTATTGGTCCTGAGGGGAGTGTCCACCTCCCGAGACTAACCCAATAGGTAAACTCACCTGGTGCACGCTGGGGTGTCAGAGGGTGGAGGTCTCCGAAGGCTCCAAGCTAGACGGGTCCCATCTGGGTCACCAAATTGTCATGGGAGAAAACTCCCTGGGGTTCGTTGTCTAGCCGCATAGGAACCAGACAACACGGGTAAAGGCTTTACTGCAGTTTATTTGCTCGAGCAAATGACCATAAGCCAGCAAAAAGGCAAAATGGCCCCGACTGAAGGGTGGGGCTGTCTTTTATCCCTTTTCTAACAAAGAAAACTACAAGGTCATCAACTAAGCAATACTTATGGTGATCATCTCCTTATATGGTGCATTACAAATTTCCACAGTAACATTACATTTATCTGTTATAGCTAGTACTTTTCCAAAAGCAAAAAGTTAAGCAACGGTTACATGTTATCTTTCACATTCCAATCTGTTTTCCTGTTCTGGGCCATACCATCTTCCCTCCTTCTGGGCCCTCCTTTATCTTATCTCATTCCTTGCTGTAGCTGGTTCTCAGTATACAGACTTAATTTCTGCTTTTTCTAACAAAATGGTTATGGCACTTGACATAAGCAAATGGCTGGCTTAGCTATTATTCTGCCTTGTGGTCAGCAGCATTGCTAGGCCACAGGTCATGCCTTGTGCTCAGCTGCAAATCTAATGTTTCCCAATAATCTAAATTATTGTTAACCTAACAGTATGGCATCAAAAAACTATTTTATTTCAGGGTAATAACAAACTTGCCCATCACAGCTCCAAGGCTAACAAGGCCGAGGTGCACTCTGTTGGTGCTTGTCAGCAAAACCTCCTCCACAGCAGTGCTGTCACGACTTCTGCATCTGGCGTGAGTCCAAACCGCTGTAGGAATGATTTCAGTTAGTGATAATAGATACAAGCAGCGGAGAGCCTTTTTTTAAATTGGGCCATGCCCAAGAGGCAGGGTTAAGCTCTTCTTCTCTATTACCATAACTGGCTGCAATGGCTTGGAGCACAGCAGGACATAAAGTAACATTTTCATCACTTCTTGAAAACTGATTTAACTGGAGCTCAGGGCACAGAACCATTTTTGCAGCTTCGGCTCTACTCACTGAAATTGCAAATTCTCCTTTACTATACATTTGAACTAGCCAGTCTATTACTGGCTCTCCTGGCTTGCATTCATGCTCCTTTTGAATATTTTTAATCTTTACACAGGTAAAGGAATTCAGCTCTGTTCAGGGATTCTCTCCTTGCAAGTTTGAATGACTTATCACCATGGGAAAAACTTGGCTGAGTTTTGCCCTTGGGGCGGGGAAGGCCTGGCTAGGTTCCTCCCTCTGGGCAGGAACATACAGTGGTGTTTCAGCACCACACTCGTCATAAATCTCCTCCTCTCCATCAATCTCTTCCCTTTGATCTTCCCAGAGCTTAACTTTTGGTTTATCTCTATACAGACACTTGTGGGAGGATCGATTCACAGCCTGCGCTAACTGCACTTTCTTCTGGAAGGGAGCGGCCACGCGTGGGACCATAATTTTTCCTTTCTTCTGTTTTAACGTTTCCAACCCGCTCTGCGAAGCTCGCACAGCCTTGCACGCCACGCTGTTGGAATTTCTCACAAATTTTAACTCCTAACTCAGTCGGGTGACCTCTTGCCAGAGCTGGGCATTCTCTTCGGTCCCTAACCACAGGCACGTTGCCAAGAGCCACGACAGGCACCCCTTCTCGGGCTTACCCTGGGCAGCAGCAGCAAACCTAGCCCAGTGATCTGGTACGGTTCCCGGGTCACTCCAGGCAGGTCTCAACCTATCCTTATCCCACCTGGGATTCTCCATCCCCGTCACCTCCTTAAGCAAAGCTACTAACGGAGCCCAGGCAACTCCCTCCATTCTGCCCTTTCTCTCCGGACCAGAGCCTCTCAATCCTGTTCGTGACACCAATTTATGTCCCATCCGCCTGCAGAGGGTTCGGGATTGAGAGTATGGTCAGGGGTAGAAAGGTAAGAAAGGTTTATTCACTTAACAAAAACACAACTACGCATAGTAACACGACAAACAATGGCAGACAAAAGCAAAACACATCTGCAAATTCTTGGCAGTCCCCTCTGATGCCTGACACGTGGTAAAAATATGTTATAATCTAGTCATTATGATTTTGCAATAACGTTTGTATAGCAGCTGTGTGGTAAAAATGTCTCATCTCACTACACAAAGGCTTCACAGCTGAGAACTGTTTGGCTTCACTACACAATTGCTTCTGCTAAGGCATATAGGCCAATGATAGATTTACGAGTAGCACTAGACTTCTGCAGACATAGCCAAGAACAGATGCAATAAATAACTCCTTACGAGAGATAAGAGAAGAGGGACAGGGAAAGATGCTGATGTAAAGAACTCAGACCCTGACCGAAGAATGACCGAGATGGGCTTAAAGACGGCCCCAGGGAGGAGATTTAAGATGTAAATGAGACATGTATGTAAACTGTCATAGAACATGTAACTGCTAGACATATGTTGCAAGACGTAATACTTGGGCTGCCAATAATTACGCGACACGTTAGAATCTTTTGTTTATGTTAGCTATAAAAAGGAACCCCAGACTCTGTTTGGGGTCGACACGGATCTGAGCATTAAGCTCCCTTGTCGAACTTGTTTGCAAACAATAAATCTGAAATTGGACCCAGCCTGTGTGTGTGACTCTCTCCTAGAGGTGGATTGGACAAGCCTCCAGGGGCATGAAACTAGCCGTTTGTGCAACACTCACAGCAAGCTTCTTTTCCTCAAAGTTCAGCAAAGTCAGGCGTCCCCGAACGACACTGTCCAAAGGGGTACCGGAAAGGACCCTGGGATGCGGTCCTTGGGCTCCTCGAGGTCCACGGGCCCACTGATCCAGGCAACAGCTAACGAATCCTTTTTTCAGATCTGTATCTTCCTTCTGAATGGTTTCCAAATATTCCAGCTCATTGATAGCTTCTGAATGATACTGATAACGAACAACCACTCAGATTCCTTTTACTTCAACTGTCCTTAAACTGACCAATTAGCAGTACAAGCCTTGCATTTCTTTGAGAAGGTCATTTTAACTACGCCACAGGGCCTTACTACTTCTAGGCTTTGCTAAATTTACTAGGCTTTCCTTTATACAAAGGCCTCACTACATCTTAAACTTGAATTAGGCTTTTAGCAACAACATATAGCTTAATATCTAAACAAATACAGAAAAACACTTGATATAATCTTCATAGAGCCTTCAGCAAGCACCTGTATCACACAGACATAATTTTAGCTGTCAAACCTATTAATCTGAGCTGTGCCTGGACTGGAGTAATGACATTAAAGCCTGGCTAGCTACCTGTCACATCTGCATTACTGGGCAGATATAAAATCCCAAAGAGTGGTCAAAATTACTATTATAACTAGGTTTGCGTTATATCTCAAACCTGACTCCTCGCAGGGCAAGTTTCATTTCAAAACGTCATCCTTCAAAGGGCATTTCCAGGCACGCGCAAACAGGGAGAATTACTGCCCCACCTGGGACGTGAAGCTGGAGGTTGTGCTCAGTAGAAGGAGCTGCATCAGACACACCAGTGCGACAGGTGTCATTCCCTGCATCCTGGATGGATAATCTTCTCAACAACAGGGACGCGCTGCCACTGGGGAACTCCTGGGGAAAGAGCTGGGCTCTTCCCCGCAGCCTTTGCGCTTGGTGCTCTGCATGGGCCTCGCCGTGGTAGAAGCTGTGCACGATTTCCCGATTGTCTGAACTCTGCCAATGAACCACAACCTCTTCCAGGTGGAAGGGGCCCTTTTGTTCAGCTGTGCAGGGCAGCAGCACATGCTCACTGATGACCCCTTTCATTGTGGGAAGTTCACAGCCTGGCGAAGGAAGAAGGACAACTTTGTATTAACAGAGCCTGAAAGTTTCACTGCCCCGGGGTGAGTCGGAAGCTCTCGGGGGAGACGCAGAATCGCAGCTCCATCTCAAGGAAGAGAATATCTAGAGCTTACGATAGTGCAAGACAACTTCCCAGTAAGAAATGAGTGTGAACTCATGCAGCGCTGTGCACATAGGGACACACATGTCCTAAGGTGAAGCACTAGGATACCTGTTTTGGTCGTGTTAGTCTATTCAGGTGTGTGAGAATCAGTGTTGTAATAGGTATTCACATGTATCAGAGCCTTACATAGACGCATGGAAAAATAAGGCCGGGCTGGAAGTCAACGGGTCGCATGTAGTCCCCCTCCCTGCTCAAGGAAGGATCCTGCCTGTCTAAACCAGCTCAGCCAGATGTCCAGCCTGCACTTCAAACTTCCAGCGACAAGAGCGGTCATGCCACGGCCCCGGGGTGGCTTCTCCAGGTGTCAGAGCATGAGGAGATGTAAGGGTTGTGTGAGCACAGGGGATTGCAGAGATGGCAGAACATCTGACACCTTACAGACACATTCTAACATTCCTCGTATCCCCCCGCATCTCTCTTGCTGCAATTTAAGCCTTTTATTTCTCGTACTGTCCCGTGTGAACGCGGAAAACAACTGAGCACCACCCTCTTGATTACAATCCCTTCCATATTTCAAGACTGTTTTTGTCTCCTCTATCTTCTCTTCTTCAAACTCAATACTCTTGTTCTTTCAACCTTTCTTTGTAACCCACGTTTTCTTGACACCTTTTTGTTGTGCTCTTTGGAATCGATCCAATTTTTTCTGGACTACATTGTCCCAAACTGAACATAACACCTGACGTGCTGAATTGTATGACCATAACGTGTATTGCAGAAGTGCTGTGTGTGCCTGTTACACTTCATTGTGAAAATGTATTTAGGGTTGCCATCATTGATGACATTCCAGTTTTCTGCTACTCTGTCCTCTATTGAGATGAAACCAGATGCCTTTATGTCCTCTATTTTTCTGTGTGTGCAATGTGCCATGCTTCTTCAAGAGAAAAATAGAGGAGATAAAGCTGTCTGGTTTTGTATCAATTGAGGACAGAGTAGCAGAAAACTAGAGTGTCCTCTATGATGGCCACCCCAAATGTCTTGGTAGTAGAAATGTAACCTCCCAGAGATATACCATAAAGACAGAAGTCATGACCTCATTAGACAACAAGAAGCACTAGAGATGACCTTGTGGTTTGCATAACTCTGGATGCGCCCAAGGAAAGATAGCAGCTTCCTTTCTCATCCTTTAATCCCTCCTTTTTTTTTTTAATATGCCACGACCATCACCTAGGACAGAATAAGACTCTTCGTTCTCATGAATGTTTCTTCCTCCAGTCAGGAAGCGGCAGCACTCTTCGGCGCACGCTCTCTTCTCACCGCTTTACATGTAGTCCAGAAGCAGAGCTGCACACATGCAATCCTCCTGCCTGCAGCTGCTTGACGGTACAAAGGGCCAGGCTCAGTCTCTAGGGCTCTTACTAATAACTGAAGCAAGAGTTCAAGCCCCAATCCACAAACCTGGGACAACTACATTACGCCTCCCAATTGCTCAGAAAGCAAAACCTGCCCTGTTTGCACCTCTGCACTAACCAAGCAAGCCTTGATGAAGGAGGAAGTGGGGATATTGTTAACCAACCAACCTCCTACAGCTAGGAGTGGCTGACAGCCCCGAGCCGTGACCCCTCTCCACGTGGTGTGCTCCATTCACCGTTTGTAGTCCCAGCTCGAAGAAGTCAAGGCTTCAAAGTGGGTCCATCAGGAGCTGAAGCAAGTGCTGCTTGGCAGAGAGGCGCTAACTAGAACCCCGTCTAACCCCATCGGTGCCACTGCCACTGCCGCCCTGATTTCCATCACTGTAGTCACCACGGCAGGTCTTCTTTGCCTGTCTTCCCCACCCTTGGTCCCCACTCCTGCCTTCGCTGCCACCCTCAGCTGTTCACGCACAAGCAGCCTTTGCAGCATTGCCCATCTGTAGCAGTGTTTCAGGCTGCCTCAAAGAGCCTCTGGGACTACACGCTTTTGGAAAGGGATCCATGCTCTACCTGGGCCAATGGAGTCTTTGATCCCATCAAAAGACACTCCTAAATAACAGTCTTCTTTCCTTTCCCTTCCCTAAGGCGGTCTCAGTGATAGCTATGCTCAATCCCAACTCACTTCCTCCAGCAGAGACAGACTCCTGGGTAAAGCCTGTTTGCTCTCGTCGCCGCTGACCGTAGCCCAGACCTCTTCACCCCACCGCGGCAGGCTACAGTGGGGCAGGGCTCGGACACCACGATCCATTGCGGCCCCTTTCGACTCTACCGTTCACGAGTCTATGAAACAGTGCTTCGGGTGACTTCTGTCCGCCAGCACATAAAGCCCAATTCTACGCCCCCTATTATGCATCTCAGTGGACCTAAGTGTTGAAACGTGAGCCTGGTTCACCCTTTCAAAGATGCTGAAAATCCATGAATACATTTATTTTTGTACAGCCAGAATTATTTTTTTATACAGCCATAAGTGCCGCTGCCCGGGGGCCGACCCCCCGGCCCGGCTGCGCGGGGCCCGGCCTCGCCCCTTGCTCTGGGGCTGAAAGGTGCCGGGCCCCGGGCTGTGCCGGGCAGGCCAGGAGCAGGCAGGGGTGGCGGGGCGGGCCCCCGGGGACAGACACGGGCACGGCCGCCAAGACCCCGCTCCACTCCACTCAGGGCCCGCCCCCCGCCCGGGCCACAGGGAAGGACACATCAGATTGGTGCAACATTCCCACCAATCGGGGACCAGCGGGGCGGGGATCTCCGCTCAGGTGCCGCCCCCCGCCCGGGCCGCAGGGAAGGACACGTCGGATTGGTGCAACAGTCCCACCAATTGGGGACCAGTGGGGCAGGGCTTGCTGCGTGCATGCTCGGCCGTTGCATGGAGGGGGCGGGGTGGGGCGGGGCCAGACGTGCGCGGGGGGTGGAGCGGAACCGGAGAGGTGAGCGCGGGCTGGGAGGCTGCGGGCTCGGCCCGATCGGGGCGGGCGGACGCAGGGTGCGGGGAGCACGGGGGCACCCAGATCCGGCCCACTGGTGCGGGACGGGGGCGAAGGGCTGCACAGGACCCCTCCCCCACCCGCACCTCCCCCGCCGCCGGGGGCCGCTCCCCTCTGGCCGGGTGCAGAGTCGCGGCAGGGCCAGGACGAGAGGTGGGGTGAAGCAGGGCTGGACTGGTGCTGTAGAGAAGCAGGGGCGACACATAGGGAATGCACGGGGGTGCACCCCCTGAGAGCACCGGGGCACCCCTGTCATGCTGCGCTCCCTGTGTAGCCGGTGGGCAGGGTAGCAGGCGGGAGCACCAGTGCCCCTCCTGCGAGCGCTGGCCGAGGGGGGGCTGCCAGCTAAAATGGCCACGCTGCTTCTGGAAGTGGTCACCAAGTTCCCGAAGCAGCGTGGCTGCTTTTATGGTGAGTGAGATCGGGGCCCCGCAGGCAGCAAGATTGGCCGGCAGGGGACCCCCACCCCACAACCAGTGGGATTGGTCTCTGGGGTCCCCCCAGTTGCTGACTGGTATCGGGGGGGGGGGGGGGCACGTGCCCCCCTTGACTCAAGAGCCACCAGACACCCATGTGGGGAAGGGAGGGGAGGGAGTTGTGTCTGGGGTTGCCCAGCCTGTGCTGGAGGGTTGGGCCGGTAGACTGGAGCCCCTCCTGCCCCAGACGTGGGGGGCCTCCAATCCACACACACACACACACACACACACACACTCCAGCACAGCATGGGCAAACCCCAGAATGGACTTGTGTGTGTCTTATCTCTTGCCCCAGCCTTGCAGTCTAATCTACATGGGTGGGCCCTGCTGAGAGTCCTCGTGGGGGGTCGCTAGAGCTCAGGCTGCATATAGAAAGCTCCGCCTGCATGTTTCTCACTAAAGAAATGCCTTCGACCAATGGCTCCTCACTGAGCCTTTAAATGTGCTTGTGGAGAAAGCAGGATGTACTTTGGAAAGAATAGCTCGTTCAGCTCTGTATAACCATGAGCAAACCGGATGGACACAACACAAGTGATCACTCTAAGACAGCTCCTATCATATGCTCATATTAGACACTGCCCTGCCCTCTCCGCACTCCCTGCTACACAGACAAATGCACTGTAATTCGGAGCCGTTCTTTCAGGATGTGGATCATTTCGTTCTCATGCAAGGGAGTGTCTGTCACTCAAAGTTTCAGACCCTTTTTCCAACATTACTGCAAGAAATAAATGCGGGAACAAACCCCCTGGAAACTTCTGCTGACTTTGAACAACAGTTGGATCTAAACATTGACTTGAACATTGTCTTGGCCCACTGGACCCAAACCCGGGACAGAGCCTCGTTAGACACATATTAGCAACCTTGCAGATACGAATGATTTTGGAGGCTGAAGAAAAAAGCAGTTGTGTTTTATGCAATGCGTCTTGTGTCTACATTTAAATGCCTGAGTTGACCTGGCGCTGTGCCCAAGTCTAAAATAACCCCTTCTTTCTGGAACACCCAGCAGGTCAAGTTTCTGGGGTGAAATACTGCTTTTCTTTTGTTTCCCTTCTTTCATATATCATTTCCCTGCACTGCTGTGCCAAAGCTCGACACCAGTCCTAGTTCACACATTGCACCAGGTCTGAGAAGCATAACCACAAAGCATTTTGCCACAGGAAAGTTTCTACCTGGGTGAAGGACCACGTGTCAGTTGGACACTGGACATACATTGGTGCAGTGCCACAGCTCAGCGCTGTTTCAGCAGGTCTGCGTCCCGGCAATGTGAGTTTGTCCTCTGTCCTTGGATGCCCGCAGCCCATCGCTCGCATAGGAAAAACCAGTGGGATGCGCATCCTGCGCCATGGCGCTCACTAGCAAGAGATGCCTCGTGGCAAAAAGGCTTTTGCCTGAAGCTGCCTTGGGTCAGAGCGCAGTAACGTCTGATGAGATTTTCCTCTTTAGAAAGGAGACAACTAGGTAGAGAGCAGCTTTGGCCAGACTTGGCAGGTGCTGAAAGTCCAAAGGCAATTTGCCTCTTGGCTGCTGCTTTCACTCCTGTGCGCTGGCAAAATTCTCCGAAATGCCAAGTCCCCAGTTTCCACCCCGCACGACCAGGCCTGTGCTTCCACCCTGCAGGTTTGCATTTCAGCCCACTCTTGACCTGCTCTCCCGGGAGAGATGCAACGGGGACAGCGCTAAAAACCCCCAAGTCTGCAGGGCCTGGTTCTCTCATGTCAGTGATATCAGAATTCGCCCTGGTAATCTAACTGTTGGTAACATTTACCCCCCAAATGCAATTCTTTGCTCAGGTTTGGGAGGTTAGGCAGCGATAGCTTGGGAAAAATATAACTTACTCTCATTTTCTAGCTCTTCCCTCAGAAACTTGGCCAGGAGGTGTTGTGCCTCTTTCAGCACTTGGGAGCCAGGCATGTCTCCTTGCAAGTAGCAGACCAGTGTCTTTAAACTGGGGTAATCTGGTGCCTCCCTGAAGTCTTCCGGCATTGAAAGGAGCCAGGTGCTAAGGAGCAGGGCTAGTGGGCTGAAAACAAATACATTGACCAAATCTGGCCATGGTCAGTCTTTGAAACAGTGATATTTGTCACTCAGCCTGTATCGAGAAGATGGACATATCCCTTCTGCTATGAGCCAGCAAGGACTTCTGATCTGGGCACCTTAGAAAGGACAGCTGCAACCTTTTACTGAACCTGGTTCTATGACTACCACATCCATCTCTCTGTATTGCCCTTCCCTGCACCTTTTCTGATTGTAGGAGATCCTTTCTGAGAGGGGTGAACAACTTCCTTCTTGTCCCAAGTTACTGGCTTGGCCAACACTTGGTCCTCCGTTAGCACAAGTGCTTGGAACGTGCCTCAAGGAATCACAGAGCATATTAATTTGCACAGGAAAAGCATATAGTGCCAACAACTTGCTTTCTCCTCTAGACTCAGAGCTACATTTCTCTATCTGTTTATTTGATGTATTGAAGTAGTCCTTAATATCGGCAGCACTGAATTCAGGGATCACAACCAAATAACGAAAATGCCCGCTAATTCCACTCACTGAATGACCCCGAGCAGTAACTAACACATCTGCGTTACGGAGAAGATCCCCGGCAATGATTTTGTACACCAATATTTTTATGTCAAAGGCGCTATCCATCCCATCGGTTTCCCCGCCGCTGGGGAACTGGAGGCAGTTCAGATCCTACCGGAACTCATTCAGCCCATCAAGAATAATTAATACCTTTTCATGACTGTTTTGATCACTCAGGACTGAAAGCAGCTGTTCGCACTTCTGTTCCAGAAGCGCTTTCACGATGATGGGCGTCTCGATGGAGTTCAAGTCACTGAATGATATAGTAGTCACATGGCTATAGGCCATCTTGCTTTCTCCTGAAGCCCAGTTTTCCAAGAGCTGTTGAGAGATGGCACTTATCCCTGTCCCCACAGAGCCAAGCAGTAACATCCGCTCAGATCGCAGCTCCTGGGCAGTGACTAGCTCACGTGACGATACGGGGCTCAGAAACTCCTGGCTTCTGTAAACATAGTCATGGATCTCTCCACGCGTGTGCACCACCTTCCCTTTTATAACGACCGAGATGTGACCCAACTGTCTCTTCCAAAAGACGAATTGTTGAATGCAAGTAGCAGGTTTGGGAAGTCTCTGGACTCCTTCACTGCAGCGCACGCAGATTTCTACAAAACAATAAAATTCAAGTAAGTGCCCGACGCAGGAACAGAAATGGGATTCCGGTATTCCAGCAGCCACCACCAGCAACCTCTATGATTAAGGCTGGGAAACCATCCCCATCCTAATCCCGTTCTCCTGTCTCAGCACCTTCACGACTGCTGGCCGTCAAAGGGGAACACTTCATACTTGGCTTTCTACTTGAAGAGGACTTTTTCTAAAGGGTCATCTTCCAGTTAATGCTAAGGGAGGGGAGAGGTGGGGGTGGAAAACCAGCCCGCTTGGAAAAGAAAAATCCAACCAAACCAATCAGCCCGGACAGATTGGTTTCAGAGCACCACTTGGATATTCCTCCTTCCTATGCACAAAGCGATTACAAGGAGGGCTTTTTGTGAAGCATATCGAAAAAGCCTCAAAAACTCCACTTTTCCAGCACCCAGCCCTCAAGGAAGTGGTGTTGCAAGAGAGCGGAGAGGACACAAAGCCTTCCGCCAGGAGGCAGCACGGACTTGTGGAAGTGTGCGCGCTCTCCCTCTCTCTCACGCATGCTTCGCTACATATGGATGTGAGTGTATTACGCACAGATCTGGAAAGTGTGTGCAAGATATATGTTCACAGCTAAGAAAAACTATGGGGCCTGGGCCCTTAGGTCCCATTAACAACCTTGGAATATGATGCAACACTTGCGGCACAAAAGTAAATTACTTTTGCCTTTAAGGAGACTGGCGAGCAGCCCTCATTCTCCAGTTCCTTAATGATCCCCCAAGACACAGCAGTGACAGACCACGTTATTATAGCCACGCAACCATCAGCTTCCCTTCACGGACTGGGAAGATCTCCTTTTCTCTGGTACGCCTTTCAACACTTATTCAGATGCGCACACGCTTTTTATAGCAAGAGGCGCTTTCCATCACCGAGTCTGATGTCAACCAAGATGCCGGGGGCTTCCAGGAGTGGTCCTGCAGACACTACGCAGTGCATCCTAACTTCCCAGCCCACCGACGGGAACGCTGTCTTTATGCAAAAGGTAGAGAGAGCATCGCTCCTGATTCCACTTACCTGTTTTTTTCTTTTTCCTGCTCTTCCATTTTCTATAATAAAAAGCAATCCCACGTATAGTCAATATAAAAATGACAATCACAGCTATTGTCCATGCACCTTCTGTCTTTGCGTTTTCCTGTTCGGTTACATCTGAAAAAAAAAGAAGTTGAAACAGCTTTTCTGTCACCATTTCTGGCTTTCTTGGCTGCCCAGGGGGCCAGAGACCTGGCGGTGGGGCAATTAAGCAGTGCCAGAGTCAGACTGCAGCCCTGTGGCCACACGCTCCAGACCCAGCCTGCCCGCCCGCCCCGCGCTTAGAGTCCCACATTCAAGTTACGGGCTTGGGAGAAGCGGGGAGGGCAGGGCGAGGAGCAGGGAGACAGTATCACCAACTGCGCTTTCAAAGCTGGACTTAGCCGGGGCCACGAAGCCTCCTCCTAAACACTACTAGGAAGTGGACAACAACAGCCCAGCTCCTACGCTTCGTGTTTAGACAGGAAGAGCAGCTCTCTCCAAAGCACAAGCTTGCAGGCATCTCAAGGAGCCACGGCCCCTGGTTCAGGATCACTGGCTTAGATCAACCGCATTTCCGTTATCTAGCTGTGATGAGAGAAAGCCACGGGGTTAGGCTGGGGTGGTCGATCTCTACAGGTAACTCACGCTGCACTGCATCCCGTTTCCAGCTGCATGTCTGTAGTCATTCCCTTTCCAACTTCCATGGCTTTGCACGCCCTCGGCATCAAACTAACCAGCCTGTAGCTGCCTAGGATCGCTCTTGCCTCCACCCCGCCACCCTTCTTACACACAGCCCCCTCCACGTGTCACTCTCCCACTGGACGGCACCGTCCTGGCTCAGACTGGTGACAAAGCCTTGCTGCCAGCCCTACCGTGTCCGGAGCCACCTCCGTCTATCAGCACTCGCCTGCATCCGTCCCGTCTGGGGCCAAGGGAGCAAGAAGGACGGTTCAACTTACCAGCTGCAGTGCCCAGAAGCAAGCAGAGGACCGGGGTTGCTGCGCAGATCCCCCAGGTCTCCGTTCTCCGCTGTCCTCCAGCCTGTTAAAACAAATGCCACTTGCTCAAACCATCGTTTAAAACTCTGCCCCTCCGCATACCACTGCCTCCCAGCACTGAGGTCCTGGCTCAGACGCACCTTGCTCGGCGCGGCGGTGAACACCATGGGGGGCCGCGCACTTCGGCCCCGCCTCCTGCCTGACGTCACGGCCGGCCCAGTGTTCGCGCGGGGCGCTTGGCGCTGCACACCCGGCCGGGGG